TTGTTTTCAAAGAATCCGACAGCTCAGATTCCACTGTCTGGTCCTTGATACCCAGTAGGGAAGTGGAACAAACTAAGAAAAAAACGGTGACCTTTTGTTTTCCTCCATTCATCCATCCTTCCCCCATTCCCCCTACCACACACCCCTGCTGTGCTTAGAAATAGGGAACACCTTGCTCAGTTTTATTAATCTGCAACTTATCATCCAGAATGATTGGTTCTTTTGAGTCTTTAAAAGGCTTCCTTAAAGTGCAAATTCACCAGGTGGGGGGTTGGGCTCTTCAGACCTTAAACTGTTAACCACCCACACCAGAATCCTCACTTAAGGTGCCCGAGAAGGTAGGACAATACCTGCAGGAAGGGCAGACCCATTAGGGCGCAAAGTAGATACAGGTGAAGAAGGTGGAAGAGTACAAAATCAGCCCAACCTCACTTAGCTCTACACCTCTAAATAGTCCTAGCAGGTCACAGGCTGTTGACTCAATATCAATTATCTTATCTTACAGTCATAGCCCTTGGCAGGTCACAGCGTACTTTCACTCTGTAAATGATTTGGTCTTAACCTGTGGGGTGGAGGGGAGGGAGTGTGTTTTATTAACCCTTTCTCTTTGCTTATAACTACATGGATCTCACATATAATGATATCCAAACACCCGTTTCAGTGGAAAAAAAGAGAGGTGAGTTAATATTTTCCAAATCTAAAGGTTAATTTAATCCAGATTTTCTGATGCCTAAACTCTACATTCCATTTCCTATTCTTCATAGACTCTAGACATATGCTCAGTTCAAATGCAATAATAGGAATATATCCACAGAGATAATATTTTTAAAAAGTATATCTGTTTATTGGTATAAATAGTGTTTCTGGACATCATTGCTATTTTGAAACATTGATGTAAAAACGCTTAGTGAATGTATTTTTGCTAATGTCCCCACTTGTTTGTTAAACTTTAGTCAACATGTGTCATCTGGAACTCAGGCTCTATTTGGAAGTGAAAAAACCTTTTGAGCAGTAAGAAAAATAATCACCATAAAGATCATCCACTAATGCTAGAAGATTCACAGAACCACTCTTAGGCCTTACCCCAAAATGTCTTGATTTATTTTTGTGCTATAAATAGGGGTAATACTTTAACTAATTAGGCAATAAAATTCCCTAGTCCAAGCAAGTGAAATGATTTAAAGGGATGGATGACTGTTAGAGTCACTATTCATTCAACAAATAATTTTTGTTTGGATCATAGAAAAAACAAGGGAATTCCAGAAAAACATCTATTTCTGCTTCATCGACTGTGCTAAAGCCTTTGACTGTGTGGAAGATTCTTAAAGAGACGGGAATACCAGACTACCTTACCTACCTTCTGAGAAAATTGTATGCAGGTCAAGAAGCAACAATTAGAACCTTACATGGAACAACCGACTGGTTCAAAATTGGGAAAGAAGTATGACAAGGCTGGATATTATAATCCTACTTATTTAACTTCTATGCAGAGTACATTATGCGAAATGCCAGGCTGGATGAAGCACAAGCTGGAGTCAAGATTGCTGGGAGAAATATTAATAACCTCACACATGCAGACGACACCATGCTAATGGCAGAAAGCAAGGAGGAACTAAAGAGCCTCTCGATGAAGGTGAAAGAGGAGAGTGAAAAAGTTGGCTTTAAAATCAACATTCAAAAAACTAAGATCATGGCATCCAGTCCCATCACTTCATGCAAAATAGATAGGGAAACAATGGAAACAGGGACAGAGTTTATTTTTTTGGGCTCCAAAATCACTGCAGATAGTAACTGCAGCCATCAAATTAAAAGATGCTTGCTCCTTGGATGAAAAGCTATGACCAAGCCAGACAGTGCAGAGACATCATTTTGCAGACAAAGGTCCATATAGTTAAAGGTGTGGTTTCTCCAGTAGTCATGTACGGAGTGAGAGTTGGACCATAAAGAAGGCTGAACACCAAAGAACTGATGCTTTTGAACTGTGGTGTTGGAGAAGACTTTAGAGAATCCCTTGGACTGCAAGGCCTGCAAGGAATGCCAGTCAATCCTAGAGGAAATCAACTCTGAATATTTATTGGAAGGACTGATGCTGAAGCTAAAGATTCAATACTTGGGCCATCTGAGGTAAAGAGCCGACTCATTGGGAAAGTCCCTGATGCTGGGAAAGATTGAAGGTGGGAAGAGAAAGGGAAGACAGAAGATGAGATGGTTGGATGGCATCACTGACTCAATGGACATGAGTTTGAGCAAACTCCAGGAGATAGTGAAGGACAGGGAAGCCTGGTGTGCTGCAGTCCATAGCGTCGCAAAGAGCTGGACATGACTGAGTGACTGAACAACTGTCTACTAAGTGCTACAGAAACAGAGATGAAAGTATTGACAGGCAAACATATAATTACAGTGATGTGATAACTGAAACTCCAGCACTTTGGCCACCTCATGTGAAGAGTTGACTCATTGGAAAAGACCCCGATGATGGGAGGGATTGGGGGCAGGAGGAGAAGGAGATGACAGATGATGAGATGGCTGCATGGCATCACTGACTCAATGGACATGAGTTTGAGTAAACTCCGGAGTTGGTGATGGACTGGGAGGCCTGGCGCGCTGCGATTCATGGGGTCGCAAAGAGTCGGACACGACTGAGGGGCTGAACTGAACTGATAACTGCCACATGAAAGGAAATTATGAATTCTTGTCTGATCACAGAATCAGCCATGAACTATTCTGTTTATGACAATGAGACAGAGCTTCCTGGAGATTTGACAAATAGTCTGGGAGATCGGGTAGGTAAGAAAGAACCTGGACCCTGTGGGGAACAGATTCATGTGACTTGGATCTTGGAAGCTTTGTATTGTAAGGGGCTTAAATGGTATTTCATAAGCAATGGAGAGCCATTGAAGGTTCTAAACTGGAATGTAAGGCTGGGATAAGTCTTGAATTCTGAAAGTTCTATCCAAATATAGTTGTAATGTAGCCTGGAATGAGGACCAGACACTGCATACCAAGCAGGAAGAAGCTGCAATAATTTAGTCAAGAAATGCTAAGTGCCTAAACTATAGGAGTAACTCTAGACATGGAGGGGAAAGAACTGGTTCAAGAGACGGTAAAAGTGCAGACATGTGTTGATGTAGTGATCTGGTGGAGGAGGTGGGAAGAAAGGGACAGAAGACTCGAGAGTGAAACAGATTTTCTATCTGGCCAATGGATGAATTAGAAAGACAAGAGTGGGGAACAGGTTTACAGTGAAGATAATAGTTTAAATATTCATATATAGAGTCATAATGACTAGGACATTCTGAAAATATCTATTAGGGAACTGGATCTCCTAGCCTGGAGTTCAGGGCACAGGTTCAGGCTGGGACAATCACAGCAGGGAGCTGGCAGCTTTCGCTAAAGGCAGGAGGTAGTATAGACAGAAGGTTTACAGAGCACGAGATTCTAGAGACATTCGTTTCACAAACTGCCATAGATGCTTCAAGAGCGCCTGACATTTTTCCTGTCCAACAGCTTAGGCCAGTATGGCTCAGTTTCCCAATTCCTGCCCTCTTCTTCCCCCCACAACATTCTCCAAAGAATAGGCCAGTGATACTGTGAAGTGGAAGTCATGTTGTGTCATTCCTTGCTTCTTAGAATCAAATCCAACTTGGCACAGACCAATAAAGCTCACTCTACTTGTGATCTGGTCACTGCCTATCTCTTGACTGGATCTACTGTCACATGACCCACAGTGTGTAACAGTGTGATCCAGCCACGGGGATGATTTCTGTGACAGGAATGCACTTTTCTAGGTCTTGTAGGCTGGCTTCCTCTCAAGGTTCAATCTCTCTTCTGCAGTGTTACTTCCTCAGAGACCTTCCTTGACCAATCTATGTTTCCACCTCTACTCATTCTCAATCCCCAAAACCCTGTTATTCACTTTATAGCATTGACCGTTATCTGAATGTGTTGTTTATTTACTATCTACTGTACTGGATATGGTGAGATACAAAGGTAAATGTCCACATTTATTATTAAGGGAAACTGGAAAAGTGGGATTGAATCACATAGCTGAAGGTCTTGAATTCCCATTGAGGGGTTTTAATTGGCTAGCTTCCAAGCAGCTACAAAATATGTTTGAATTAACATACATTTTAATCAACTATATTCCAATATAAAAAATCAGTTTGCCACTAAAAAAACTGAAGTAGATCAGTAATCTTATCAAATGTTTTTAAAATGTTTGGTTAAGAAATTATGAAATATAATCACTCCATAATAATAATCACTCCATAATACTCTGATCCTACACTGTACTCAGAGACACTACAAACTTCAATTGGTTTAACTACATAGAAATCTTTTAAACAAATGAATGATGAGAATATTAAAAAACTCTAGAAATAACACCTGAAGTTAATTTGATGACTTTAGTTTTGTAATAGAATTGTATGGTTGGTCCCAATCTACTTTATTATCTAGCTTCCTCTTCATTTCAGTGTGGGAGGCATACAACATCAAAATGTCACTAATTTTAAAGTAAGAATCAAAGTGTACCGAGGCTGACTCTTCTACACACTCAGTAATGCAGATCTGTCTAAAGTTTTAAGCCAACCACTGGTGGATCCAACTGTGGTATATAACCAGACGTTGGCTGAAACAGAAGTGTTTCAAAGATGGGGTTATACTGAGCCCTTTCAATAATGCTTGGGAATGGAAAGGTCCTTGAACCTTTCAATGAACTTCATTAAACCTTAGAGGGTATCAGATTCAGATTTGGGACACCCAAATGAGTAAGACACATTTCTCGGCTTTAAGGAGGATGAACTCTAATCATTTAGCTATGAATATGCAGCACAATTAAGTGAACTGGGTAATTTTGTATAAAGATCAAGAGAGATTATTTTCCCAAAATGACTCCTCTTATCCTTATACTTGCGAGCCTATGAAATGTTTGTGGATTTTTGTTTTTTCTTTTCCTTACTCTTTGCTTTCCCAGGGATAAACAACTTTTCAACATAACGTATGTATAAATATAAAGTTTATTTAGCATAGTGTTTAGAAAAATAAGTTCACATCATTTCAGAAAACAAATAAAACACTTAATTGTCCAGGCATAAACCCCTATTACAGTACAACATACACACTTTAGATCTCTTTGGTTGGGTAATTAAGCACAGAAATGTTCTGGGACATGCTCTGTGTGCCGTCACCTAACAGTGCAGTAAAGACTCCGTTACCCCACCCCATGATATACATTCTGTATAGATTTTCTCTTTGTGTAAGGCACAGTAAAACCATATTGAGTATATAACTGGTTGCCTCTAAACATACAGTACATGCAACAAAAGAATAAAAATTTTTGAGAACCCTGAAAGCCAAAAGTCACATGCTATATAATTTTGATTAATAAAATGTAAGGTGGTAATAAGAAATTAACATGAAATGTATCAATTAGATACAAAATAACTGCTAGGCTCTATTATCTAAGTTCTAGGAAGACTTTTAAAATATCTTCTGTAAAATGTAATTCTTTTCCCCACAGCCTTCCTGATTTATATTTTTATGATGAGATGATCTGTCGAAAACATTTTAAACAATGAAGAACTTCTGATTATATACTAACACACACTTGTCTAACATGTAGTCGAGCAGGCTGCAACACCTACCCAATAATCTAGCTTTGAACATGCAAGACGCAAGGGCATATACAGGGAGATTGAAGGTCTGTGTGCAATTTAACTATGAATTTTATCTATGGCTATAACATCTACTTGCCTTTCATAACACAAGAAAGGCAATGAAACGTGTACAATTCAGTCTTTTCATTACTATTGATACATGTGAGCTACAAAGCAGTACAACACAGGTGCTCTTGCTTGAATGAGGGACAAATGCATGTTCTCTTTATTAAACAATAGATTGTCCTTTATTGGATGCAACTAAGAGCTAAATGCCAAATTCTGACTGATAAGAGTGCATAGAGAGGCTCACATTGAAAATCCCACAGCCAGCAGCAGGGGTTGGGGTTTGAAGGAGAGTTGTTTACCCCTATTCTGATTCCTCTTTGGAGATCATTAGAGGGTCATTTGCAGCATCTTCAAGCATTGGTTTATGTAGGAGAGAAATTCTGCCAAGGGTTTTGAGTCTGGCCCTTAGCAATGCAAAAAATTTTTGCAATTCTGTGCAGGGAGATCATGGGGTTTATCTTATTTCATTCACATATATATGGGCTTCATAACAACTGGCCCTTATTTTACTGAAAGAACAGAAAAGAACAATAAGTTCTTTATAATGTGCATTGATTCTTACCTGGTATATTGTATAGCTACCTGGAGTAATTGTAGGGGTATAATTATATCATGTTAGAGTATGAATAGGTTTCCTAGGTAAGTCTTAAGTTTTGTGCTATCTTTTTTCTTTCTTAAGGTAGAAAACAGGAAGAACTGTGAATAAAAGAGAGGCTTATTATATTTTTGGAAGACAATATAAAACTTTTCCAGTTATATATGTATAACATATATAACTTTTTAAACTTTCCCATCTTTCTTACTCGATGGGTATTTTAAAATTAAAATTAACAAACTCTTGATATTTGCAGCAATCAAGTGGAAAACATCATTTTTATGTAAACTACACTATAGAACCACGTAATTAATCTCAGTAACATGATCAGCACACACCCAAAGAAACGAACAAGCTGTATAAGTAGTGGTGGAGTGGAAGAGAACTCTAAAATGCCTGACATTGTAAAACAAAACATAAAACATGTCATTTCAGCAGTTTAGGAACATTCACTAATTCCATAAAAAAATGGGATCTAAATTCGTTATCAAAATGATGGAGGAGAAAAAAATATGATGGGGGAGGAATTCTTCAAAGGGCTCTTCATGTATGCCTGCAAGTTCCATTTGCAATAACAATAAAAGTGAAATCCTCTATGGCCCTTACTCAACATGCTGGACTGATGAGCATGCAGAGATCTAGAGTGGACCCTTTGTTCCGATCTTAAAGAAAGCAAGATGTGATGACATCTTCATGTTCCACAACTTTCGGTCATCTCTGAAGAGATCATTTCCTAACTTTTCTTGCTTTACAGAGACCGGAGACTTTACTCACTACACAAATGTATTTGTATTATTACATCTTCTCTTCAGAGTCCTGATAAAAACTGTATAACCACAGCTCACAACATTATCAAACAAGCTTCTTACAGAAACCCCCAAAAGATTTAAAGAAGATGCGATAATATAGTGCAAACAGTCATACATCATAATGTAACAACTGATTCAAAACAGTTTCAACAAGACATAATTCTGCTCATTAGAAGATACAAACTCTTTCCTTACTTTAAAATGGTTGTTTTCATAGCCTCCAGAACTGGTTTTGTGTGGTAGTCTCTGTAACCGTTACTTTAATTTTAATGAAATGTATCAACAATAATTAGTTGTTCAACCATTTGCATCATAAACATTAACTATAAGTGAAACTTAAAGTTCTTCAGATTTAAAAGCAATTCTGTGAAAGTAACCCTGTTGGATAGTAGAAAAAAGTCATCAGTGCTTCTGTTGACACTTCTGTACCTTAATAAGAATAAAAAGGCCACAAGGTAAAAAGGCACGTAGAATTCTATAGGAAATATATTTAAATGAATCAGAGAGTTGCTAAATAAAGAACAAGAATGTGAAAAAAAGTACCAAAATTCCAATAATGGGAGTTAGATTTCCTGTTTCAGTTGTTATTAATATTGACCTTAATAGACTCCTGATAAAAATCATTACTTTTAAAATCCTACAAAAAGTAAAACTTTGTTGGAAATAATTGTTCACTTCCTGTTCAAACAATAAAAATAAATTAAACAGTACCAAAACATTTTTTTCAGTTCATAGTGTCTGAAGTATAAGAGAAACATATACAGCATAAATAAAATTCACTGTAATTACCCAAATCCTTATTGATAGGACTAACATATTTACACTCACACTGCAGATTGTTTCAGTTTTCTTAGTGGGGTTGAGAACTTTCTCAGCCACACTAAACTATTAGCAACCACATTTGGAATTGTATAGAGACAAAGCAAGACTTTCACAAAAATGCTGAAAAACAGAAATGCATATATTCAAAAATATATCCTTAGAATTGTATGAAGTATCACTTACGCTTCTTAACCTTACCAATGCCCATGGAGTAAAAGTAAACAAAAAGAACTGTATTGTTTCTAATGTTCTGTAGTGATATTTAATTTTCTACCTTAAGGGTATACATTTTTAATTTAAAAAACTATCGAGTTCCATTTGACCTTAGAATTAAGTCAACCAAATGATACACTCTGACTTCTTGATATATTTCATCTCTGATGTCTGTCTCCATCTATTGAAAAGAGAACCAAAAGGCTGCAGTAATGCAGTTCTACTCCTGCATATTTAACTGTGATCTTCATGTAGATCAATCCAAGGTCTCTTGAATGCATTTACTTGCAAAACTAATGTTTCCCTTTAAATGGGAAAGCGCTTTGTGTCCTCAGGTCTTCCATGAAAAGATCTGCCTGCTGATGCCAGGGTGGGGGAAAGGAAATTAAGTTTACAAGTCTTGCATATCTTCATCCAACTGGACAGTCTGGAGCTTGGCAAGCTCTTTCTTGTCTGTTTCCAGGTCTTCACAGACAGTCTCCACCATGCCGTCTAGGACATACTTGGATTTGGAGTCCAGCATCATTAAGTTGCTTGTTGTTTTGCTCTCAGAATTTGTTAGGAAATTTTCTTTTATGTTAGCTACTGATTGCATAACTAAATGATGTTCTCTGACAAAATCCTGGTGTACTGTTGGGGAGGGGTGACCCACCTGGTCTTCACCTGGGGGAACTATTTCCCCAAGGGCAGCCTGGGACATGGGTACTGATAGTAGATCTTGACCAGAAATAAGGGAGCAGTTCTGAAGAGTTGCATAGTTAGCGTTGTTGACTGACGTCACAGTAGATTTGCTTGCCACAGGTGCAGACATTGGCTGGCTATCAGCAATGTCAGGGTTTAGCTCAGTGGGATTTAGTAGGGTTGGGGAAGTGAGGGAGAAGTTGTGAGTGGGGGATACGTTAACTAATGAGGAGGACAGTGGGTGGAGGCCACTTCCCGAGATACTTTCAGAAGATAGGTTTGCATTTACTTGTGCATTCTGATTGACAGGCATCAGCTGCGAAAACACCATGCTCCTCTCCACGCCCTCCTGTTTAACAGATCCTATAGTCTGGCCTGAATTAGGAACAGTGTATACCACTGCACTGGGAGCAAGAGAGCTCAAGAAAACTTTTCCTTGCTGGACTGTGGCAGACTCACTTGTAAATGTGCTCCCATCTGAAGTGCTTGAATTTACTGAAATATTACCTAAAAAAAAAAGCACAGATTATCATTGACGGAACTGATAAGGAAAGAAAAAAGTTACTTTTTTACGCACATGATTTTTCTTGAGCACAACTAGAGATTTCCAGGCTCTGCTCCTGAGAGTCTGACTCAGTAAGTCCCAGAGCAGGTATATTTTTAACTCCTTGAGTAATTCTGGTGATGAAGCAGAAGCAAGAACTACTGGCTTAGAAATCAAATGTGAAAAAATTTTTTTTCCAAGTTCTAATTTCAGTTAAGTTTCTGGCTCAGTATTGCTAAGACTTGTTATCTCTGTTAGTTGAATAGTTATTGCTAGCTCTGCCAGTTAGAACTAGAAAACAAATGCAAAAGAGAATGTCTTTGTTCATGACAAGCTCAGTAACTGACATAAAATATAAATGGAAATGTAGAAAATACCACATAAATGAGTTACCCTGGGGCTTAAAGTTAACCATATGAACCTGTAGAGACAAGTTGCACTCTTTCACCAAACTAACCATAAAGTAATGTCAACAAAACATTCAATAGATTTTTTTCTTTTTGTTGTGCTAGTTCTGAATTTTCAGTATTATAGTGATAGAATTAATGATAATAATGAAATGTGCTTTTAAAAATATAGATCCAACAGCATTAAAACTAAAGCTAATGCTTTTAAAAAGGGTTTCTATCTTTTGAGACTCTCATTATAATGTTCTGCAGAGTCCAAAAGTAGAAAAAAATGTAGATAGAAAGCTGAAGACAATGCAGATGAATTAGACCCTTGACCCCAACTCCCACCATCAGATAAAAACCTTTTCCTCTGAGCCTTCACCTAGGTTTGGGGAAAAATGGCAATTATCTTGCCATTTAAGGAAAGGTGGGCCTAGGGGAGTTTTGTGACAGAATAATTCAAATGGGAAGTTTACCCTGATCTTGAATTAGGTGTGCAGTAGATATTCTTCATTATTTTGAGAAAATACTCCAATGTTAAAGTAAGTATTATTTTGAGAAAACAGTTCAAAGTTAAAGGTAATTCACCTAAAACATTTCCCCCTTAAATTATTAGAATAATTGTGATTATGTTGCCACCTGTATTGATAAATGTCGTAAATATATGTACGTCTTCCTAACATTTTTAAGCACCCTAAATGCAAAGGAATGTCTTTAAACAAACAAAAAATGAAAACTTTATTTGAACTTAAGAAAAACATTTCTATGCATGTTTCAGCTCTTTTCTGACATAAATCTTTGTTTCAGGTCAGACAAACGAAAAAGGCTCTAAAATTCTTGTTGGGTACTAAATTGCAGCAAAAGATATCTGAAATAGATGTTTACTTTGTTGTGTGTTTGTGAAATTATTTGCCAGCATATATGTGAACAAAGTGATTCGTTATTTTTGGATAGGACCATATATAACATAATAGATGTGACATTTTCTCAAACTGCTATTCATCTAAGTAAAATAATGTTTCTCAAAGTTTTTATATTATGAAATACATACATGAAGGGGAAAAGCAGATGTGATCTAAAGCTTGATATTTAAGTACAGTTGCAACTGAATTATAAGTTGAACAATAATTTCAAAATCAATTAAAAAAACCCAGCTGTGAAATGTTCAACATACAAAGAATAATTTTATAGCGATGCTAAAAAAAAAAGGGCTTATCTTCTTAGATTATAAAGTGAGGAAAATGTAGAAATTCCGCTTTTCTATGTAAATTTCACTACAGAAAGATAATCTACCTTGTTTAGCCATTTGTAAGAAAGGCATGGTATCTATAAGAAAGGCTGACTCCCCAAGTACTTTACTGAGAACTGCAATACACAATTACTCTAAGAGAATGTTGCTCCCTGGACCCGTATGGTTAAACTTATGTCTTCAACTCACCCAGACAAGTCTAATGATTGACAGCTGTCATTTGATCTTAGCTATTTTAACTGAAAATGCTGTTCTTACTCATAATGACTGTTTCATTGTAAGAATTAACTATTAGCCTGTAATAATTTTCCATGGCAGCACTTCTTTAGATTATGTATGGAAGTATTCCTGCCTTTCTCTTCCCCAATGTACACACCATGCTTTTTTGCTCAAATCTGTTGTCTTTAAAATGTTATCTACTATTTGGAAATTTCCTAAAGAGAGAAAAAGGGTTAGATCCATATTAAAGTATTATACAACTAAGCACTTTGGCTTTCTCTGTGGTTTGACTATTTTTGTCCTGTGTTGGATAGTGACTTAGCTTAATCTTTTCTATAGCCTAGAACAATGAAGAAATAAACAGCATGCTGCAGGACTGTTGTGTGTTACTATACTACCATTTTACCTAAACAGAAACAAATGTGCAGAATGGAATTCATGGCACAACAATTTTTCCATTAATACCTCGAACAAACTGAAGGAGATCACAGTTGTAGAAAAAAAAGAGATGTGAAAAAATTGATTTTTTAAAAAATAAAACCATTTTACAGGAAGCTGATTCTTAAGGCAAACAGTTATTTATTTGATTTTTGTTTAGGTAAAAATTTAGACTTTCAAATTTGCTTCCACAAAGGCAAATATGCACCAACACCTCCCACTTCTGAAGTCAGAGGGTTCTTCAACGTCCATTCTAACCATTCCTGTTTTTATAGAAAAACAGGGACACAAAGCTCTCCAGATTTGCTTAAAGTCACTGAAGAACTGGCATGTTAGGCTCAGGTTCCCCAAATTTCATCTCAGTGTTTTCTTTAGGAGATGTCTTGGTAAAGCCAGAAACATAAAATAAGGCTTACAGTTGCCTTCATAAAGAAAGCCACACATTTAAGATGCTAGTATACATGCAGAGCAACAAACAATCACATATTCCTCTGTTTTTCCTTTTTGTCTGTTAATCTTACCTACAGGAGGAACATGAATCCGACACAAATGATCCAGTCTTTTTAGCTCGCTCTTATAAAACACCTTTTGCTCAGATAAATGATGCTTAGGTGAAGTGTACACATTCTTACCAACTGCTTGGCTCATTTTGTATTCTTAGCAATATTATTAATTTTTAATCTTAAAATATCAAGCAATGGGTTACTGTGTAAGTACCGATTGACTTAGCATATTTCTATAATTGTAGAACTGGCAGGACTCACAGTGAACTGTATTTTTCCATTCAGTTGTTGGGAAAATAAAAGCCCACCCCCATGATACCAGGGAACCAAGCAAGCTGGATATTACATGGATGTTGTGAAGGCGGAGAGACAAATCAAGACTATTCTGCAGATGTAGCAGCCAGTAAGGTACCCGAAGACTAATAGCAATCTATAGCTCTCATCAAATGCGTCATCTACAGCAGCTGGCTAAAACATTCACTGATGCATCATGGTACCAAGTAAGACTTTTACCTTGTGAAGCTGCCACTGAAACAGAAGGCAGCTGCAGTGGAGAGAATCCAATGCTCCCATTAAGGAACTGGCTGTTTGCTCCAGAACTGGGGATCTGGACGATGCCATACTGGTTAATTTGCACTGGTGTGGTAAAAGTCACCACAGAGCCTCCATCCTGGGAAGCCACTGTTTGAATACCTTCTCTTTTCACCTCGGCGCTGGGAATCAGCCCTGGGAACGACACGGGAGCACTGGGGCTATAGGAGGTGGTGGCTGCTGAGTTAGCTGAAGAGCTCTGGAGAACTTTGAATTCCTTCACATCCTGGGAGGTAGACCCCAGTATGTCCGTCATGGATATACCATTGCTCATTATGTTTGATGCCATTTTGGGGGGGTTCAAAGACACTGTCTGTGTATTTCCCACACTTAGTCCGTTAAGGATAACGCCATTGGGTCCCTGAACGAAAGAATTACCATTAAGGAAGACAGGTGAAGTACTTGCAGGTACCAGACTTCCGTTCAGTAAAACTCCAGAGGAGCTTAGCGATATTTTAGCATTTCCAATTTGTTGCATATATACTGGCTCCAGGTGACTGGAAAGGCTGAGGTTGGTGACACCATCGGATGAACCTGAGAGCTGATGAGGAGACAAGTCTTCATGACCCTTGCTGGATTCATCTTCAGTGCTAGGATTGCCATCTGACTCACTGTACAGAGAAGGAAATCAAGACGTTCAGAAAGTCAGGGGCATGACAAGGTACATAGTGCCAACTGTTTGTAAAACCAGTCTTTAACCCCATTAAAGGCTGTGTCTAAGGAAAGCACAGCAGAAAATCTTTTAGTCTTGTTTTAGCTATGAGGCCTTTCTGCAGATTTTGACCAGGGCATCTAGGAAGAGGAATTCTCCTCTCTCAATCACCTTTACTAATAATAAATTCGAAGAAAGTCCAGAGGTCTGAAAGATGTAAATTCAGCTAACAGGATTTACAGGAGAATTGTATACTTTTTTTTTTTTTTGGTAGCACTGAAATTATTTCTTACTGTTAAAAATGCTTCTACCTATACCATAGGAAAAAACTCATCAAAGGGGTAGTCATTCATCTTGCTTTAGGAACTCTTTCTCTTCCCCTGAAACCAATTCGGAATAGGGTGGTTTTGGAGGTAAATGAAACTGTCAAAGGAGCAGGAGATGGGAAATACTGGCTTTTGTTTGCCAGTTAGTTAACGAGAGATCATATTCTCACCTGCTCCCAAACTTCTACTCCACCAGATTGACAACTGTTTCATTCAACAAAGTGGCTGTTTCAGAACTGTTATGTGCAGTCGCCTTTGAATCCAAAGGAAGCCATAAGGGCCTATTTAACGAACACCAGCCAGTGCCCTGGGGAGGTGGGAGGGAAAGGATGTGGGTCACTCAGTGGCCTCGTACCTATCACACCCCTTCCCCAGTACCCTCACCTCAGTTCCGCTCCCTTGCAGACAAAACCGTGTTCCTCACCTCTCCGATTTGGGGGGAAATACCAAATCCGGGGAAGGGTTTCCCATTTGGTCTGAGGCTGGGCGGGGACAGGGGGGCGTAGGACAGAGGCCCTACGTTTGGAGCGCGGCGGGACTTGGCCCAGCAGAAGATCCGACATCCCTGCAGTGCCCAGCGGTCGGTTCGCTTTCATGCCTTGGGGAGGGGATTACTCGGGCTTTGGGCTGCGGGGCCAGGAGCGCAGAAAGCGCTTTGATTTACGAGCTGAGGCTGAGCCGCCGTCGCCGTCTGCGAGGGTGACTCACCGGGGGTGCGGGTGGGAGGTAGATCCGGAGAGGGGCCTCAACCAGGCAACTGGGCCGGGGGCGGGGGTGTGGAGTGGGGGGAGAAGCAGGCTGAGTGTGGCGGGGGAGACCCGGGGAACGCGCCGGGCCGGGGTGTGGAGGATGCAGGGCAGCTGGACTGCGCGCCGCTCCCACCCCCTAGACCTGGCCTGCAGATTCCGTAGGCGATGGGACCCGCTGCCTCAAGCAGGCGCGGGGGCAGGTGGCGTGGAGTTACCAAGGCGCCTCCTCCGGGTCGCCCCGCAAGTCTGCGGAGGGGTGCACGTAGGTCGGGGTGCACGCCGATCGCGGTGCGCGTTTTGTTTTGGTTACCGCCAGGCCGGGCTCGGACATCAAGCCTTCCTCCCTGCCTGGGGTGAGGAATGCCGGAGCCGTGGCTCTCGGCCCCGCGGGAGCGCAGGGCAGAAGCAGCCCACAGCGGGCTCTGGAATGCGCCGGGCGATCACCTTCTCCCGGCCGGGCCAGACTCCCCGGCTCCCAGATTCCCCCCTACAGCAGAGCCTACGAGCTGGTTTTGGATTCTTTCTCTCCGGTCCCTGCGGGGTTGGCGACACTTTCCTTTTAGGCGGCCTTCGCTTTACACTTCGTCCAACAATACAACACAGAGACACTCAGACTAGGTGTCTGACTCAGGAGGACGTACGGAAGAGGCGGAAAACCCGGTATTTTCTACCAGTTGGGAAAAAATAAATACCTGGCAGTCAAAAACTTCAAACCCGCCAGGGTGGGCGCTCAAAGAGGGGCGGAGTGGATAGCGCCCTCACTTCTTTCCTGCCTCCCGCCCGGTGCCAACCTGCCCCTACCCCCATCACCACGCCAGGAGGGAGACACGCAATTGTCCGGGGCCAAGGAAGCAGCCCCGCAGCTCCACCACCCCCGAGGCGCTGAAATCCGATCCGAAGGAGTTCAGAATCAGGTTTCAAAACACCGCAGAGCCGAGCCGCACCAACAACCCACAGTTGCTGCGGCCGCGAAGGGAACCAGCGGGGGCAGGGTGAATGATTAACTCTGTCACATAAAACCTCGACACCCCCAGACCCCCTTCTACGCCGCCAGCCCTCTCCCCCCGCCCCGTTCTCCTCCTTCCAGAACGGCCACGGCCACCTCCAACACGGGCCCCGGCCGGCCGAACCCTGGGGGTCCGGGGAGCGCGCGCGCTGGGCTGGCGTGACCCCCTCAGAGGCGCACACCCGGCCCGGCGCTGGCAACCTCCGTGGGCCTCGGGCGGACACGAGAACTGCCGTTCCGGCGCCTACACACGCTCCTTCGCCCGGCCAGAACCGGGGAGAGAGTGGCAACTTCAAAGCCGGCGGGATGGGGGTGGGAAGCTGGGCAGCAGTGACCAGCCGAGGTGGGGGCGGGGACTGAGACCTAGGCGGGCGACCAGAAACTTCTGGGGGGAGGTGGGGGAGGGTACGGAGGGAGGTTCCCCCGCCCCTCGCCACCGCGCCCCCCCCACCTCCCGCCCCGCGCCCGGGGCCGGGGAGAGAGGTGGGGGGCGGGGAGAGGTGGGCAGCCGGACCAGGCTGGTGGGGAAGGTAAGCGCCATGTTTGCGAGCACTTGGAGGAAAAGAAAGCTGGGAAGGGGGTGGGGGAGAGGAAGGGGGAGGAGGAGGAAAGTTGGCGCTCACCTTTTGGACTGGGTCTCGGAGGGGTTCCGATCGCGCTGCCGGCGGTTCTTGAACCAGTTGCTGACCTGGGTGAGGGAGAGGCCGGTGATCTTGGCCAGGTGCCGCTTCTCGGCGGGCGAAGGGTAGCGATTCTGCTTGTAGAGCTCCTTGAGCGCGTTGCGCGACTTCTCCTTGAAACAATACACCGTCTCCTCGCCGTCCCAGATGGTGCGGGGCAGGGGGAATTTCCTGCGCAGCCGGTACTTGTCCACCGCGCCCAGCGGCCGGCCGCGGGCTCGCTCGGCCTCGGTGTAGCGCGCCTTGTACCAGAGCTGCTGCAGCAGCGGGTGGTTAGCCGACTCGAAGCTGTGGCTCTCGAGGATGCTGTAGAGCTCGGGGTAGATGCCCTGGTGGAAGGCCACCAGCGCCCGCGCCTTCAGCAGGCTCTCGTTGCCACGTAGCAGGTCGCTCTGGGGCAGGGACCACAGGAACCGGGCCAGGCGGTCCAGGTTGCCTCCCTGCTGCAGCGCCTCGCACACGCAGGCGACGTGGTCGGGCGAGAAGGCCAGTGGGGTCTGCGCGGCGGCGGCCGCGGCGTGGTGGTGCCTGCCCAGAAGTTCCGAGTGGAGTTGTACCTCATCCACCGCCGCCGCTGCAGCCACTGCCCCTTCCTCTCCGCTCACCCTGGCGGCGGCGGCCGCGGCGTCCCCCGGCTCCAGGGGGAAAGGGGCTGGAGCCGGGGGGCTCAGCCCCGCCGCCGCCGCCGCGCCCCCCGCCACTTCTCGGGGCGCCTCCTGCCCCTCCGAGGCGCTTTCCATCCCATTCTCCTGCTTGATGTCCGCCGCACTTGCAATCTGCCCGGTGGGGGAGGAAGAGGACATTTTTTTGTTGTTGTTTATTTTCCTCCCTCCCTCACACTCTTTTCCTTTCTTTTCCCCTCTCTTACTCCTCCTTCTTCGTCTCCCTCCCCCCTCCCCCCCTCCGGAAAGCCCACTCCCTCCCTCCTGGTTTCGGCTGGATCTGGCCGATCAGGTTTCCCCCCGGCCACGCAGTCACCATTAAGATAGCTGCTAGAGCAAAGTAGTGTAAAAGGATAGCTGCTTTCTGCCGTTCCCCCAACGTGACTCCTCCGGTTGCTGCATACTATATGGCACTGGCGGCCGGGCCGGCTCGGCCGCGCCACCCCATTGGCTATTTCGCATTCAGAGGGAGGAGGAGACACAGCTTCTATCCCTGTCGATCACCCGCCTCCCACTCCACCCCTTGCCGTTCCCTCTCCCCTGACCCCCAGGCACCTATACCTGAAGGAAAACACCGACATTCTTTTCAGGCCCTGCTTCTGGGCGGGAACGTGCCTAACGTGGCCTGAAAACTGGACAGCAGACTCTTTGAAAGAGAGTCCCTACGATTCCAGTGGGAATACTAATCGTGTGACCTCAAGGTCTGGATGCTAGATTCTTAACAAAGAGGCCACCCTCAGTATCTAGATGACAAAATTTCAGAGGTTTTAGAAGCCTCTCTGGTATCGCTACTGCTTTCACCCTCCTTTCCATTGTCTTTATTAAGGATTTTGTATTCAAAAGGGTCAAGAATAAAATGGCACTAGGGAATGCCCTATGGGGGAAGCGTTCACAGTAAATTAAAATTCCAAAGGGGGAGGGATGCTTGAAAACGGTGTAAATAGCCCACTGAGAACGCAAAAACGGGAAGCCTTCAAAAAAAAAAAAAATGTTTTTAACCTTAAGTCACCTGGAGGGCTGGCAACCCAACTGAGCCGAACCTGATACAACTAAGTATGTAGAATGTTTTACCATGTTTATCCTGGGTCAGCAGGGTAGAAGAGATCTAACTTTGTAGATTATAATAACAGTATGGAAATTTAAGCTTCTCTATGAACCTTTCTTAATGATAGTGTATGAATAGTTTTTTGGAGACGATCTTCCTGGTAGAAACCGATCTCTATGTGCAGATGTCTTGGAGGAGACGAGTGCAGGATCAGCAGCCATTTCCACAATATAAACAGATGGGAGACTGCCCTCTGGTTTGAGGTGAAGTGCCTGAGGGTGTGGAGTCTGCTGCTTTTTGCAGCTATGCCTCTTTCCTTCATAGTTTGCAGGAGGTTTTCACTCAAAAAAGAATGAACCCATCTCTCCTTCTCTGATTACTGTGGGTCACTTGGGTCTACCTGCTCGGTAGTCTTTCGCAAAAATGCAACATTTTAATGACATCGTCCTAACCTTTACTTCTAGGTGGCTTTGTTTTGTTTCTGCTCCCCATACCTGTAAGTGCTTACTTCAGCATATTTTAAAGCAACTGTTTAGGTCACCTGCTATGGTAATCAGATTGATGAGGTTTTCCTTTTTTGTGGACAGGCTGCATTTTTATTGCTGGTCAACAATCAAGTCATTTGACTTTGGGTTTAACTTGCTTTTGTACTACCCTAATGAAGCCAGCACTGATATCTCTGGTAGATTCAAAATTTATAACCATACATGTTTCTATCCCATTGGAAATATCCAATTAGGCATTGAACTTCTGGACAATATCTGAGATTCATAACTTTCTTGAATTTTTAAAAATACGCTTTTTTTAAAGAATAATTTTGATTTACAATACAGTCATAAAGAGAACAGGATTCCCACTTACTCTTTACCTAACTTCCCATGATGTTAATATCTTACATTATAGCAATACATTTGTCCAAACAAATTAACATTGGTGCAATACTGTTAACTGAACTCTGGACCTTTTTTTGGGTTCACCTGTTTTTCCACTAATATCTGTCTTCTGTTCCTGGATCTAATCCTGGATATCACATTCCATTTAGTTCCTTGACTTTTAAAAGTGTATTTATCAGAGCAAAGTAGACAGGAGGTAGTGTGGTTTAGTGGAAAGCATGTGGATTTGGGGATCAGTTAGCTAGGTGTAGGTTTAATCCTAGCTCTGCCATTTATTAGCTACTTGACTATAAAAAGTGGACAGGATTGTTGTGAAGATTAAATGAGATAAGATGTGCCCAAAGGCACCTGGCACATAATTAATCTTTGTTAAATGTTTTTTAACATTAACATCTCCCTCATGATAGTGCAAAGTAGGAAACTTTTTCAGTTGTATATACCTTATGAAAACTCATTTGGCTATATTAAAGGGCTATCCAAGTGCAGATCATAGGAGTCTTCCTCAGGCTTATTGTCAATCAAATATAATGCATTAACTTGGAAAATCATGCATTGGGTTTCTGCAGGTCTTGTGTATATTTGCCTCCAGAGTCTCAAGTTCAACAGATTATATAGAAACAGCCATGGTCTTTTATAATATCTGTAGCCTGTGGCTACGTTGGTATTCTATAGCTCCAGTAAGAGATTTCTATAGGACCAGAAGTGAAATCCAACACCAGGATCTGGATTCCTTCAGCTGGTTGAGTGTCCAAGCTCATTCTGGCAGCATATCGAAATGGGCTGGAAGCCCTTGACTCAAATATGGTTAGCTACATTGAAGTAGAACACCAGAATTGAGGGTGTGTGGAGTTAATCTCGGGGCACTTGTTTTGTCAAATGAATTGTAAAATTGCTGAGTATTTGCTTCTACTTCCCATGTCTGCCATGCTATGAATGTTGAGTCTGCTGTGCTGATACACAGACTAAAGCTATGTTTTGATTTGGGAAAATGGAGGTGAGGTTGGGATTGCCTAAGAGTGAAAACTAAGCTGCTTGTTTCTGTATCTCTTTCTTCCTACCTGAAGATAATGATGAGCAATACGAAATCTTTTGCCATTTTAGCATAGTGAAGAAAACATAGTTCAGCACAAAATATTGCACTTTGCTTAAATGTATCTGATGGTGTTGCTATCAAGAACGGAGATTTCTAGGGCTTCCCTCGTGGCTCAGTGGTGAGGAATCTGCCTGCCAAAGCAGGAGACACAGGTTTGACCCCTGGTTCGGGAAGATCCCACATGCCACCGAGCAACTAAGCCCCTGTCCCACAACTGCTGAGCCTGTGTTCTAGAGCCGGAGAGATGCAACTACTGAGCCCATGTGCCCCAACTACTGGAGCCTTATGCCCTGGAGCCGGAGCTCCGCAACAGGAGAAGCCCTCGCAGTGAGAAGCCCACACACTGCAACCAGAGAGTATCCCCTGGTCTCTTGCAACTGGAGAAAAGTCCAAGCAGCAGCGAAGACCCAGCACAGCCTCCCAAAAAAGAACGGAGACTTCCTTCCTCAAAACTGACCTTGGCTATCTGGAGGATAGAGGGAAGGCTGTATATCTGTATCTTGGTCAGTTCTTTCTGCTTCCAAAAGCTTATATTAAGGAAGTTAGGTTGTAAAGTAGTCTCCTAGGTAGAGGAGGTGTTCCTTTGCTATTTAGTGACCAACAGTTGATGATATGTAATCAGCATTTCTGAAAGATCTTTCATTTGCCAAATATTTATTGAGTCGTGATTAAGTGCATGGTGTTGCATTACATACTGAAGGATAAAATTGGGGTCTCTGACCCTGAGTAACTTAAAATCTGGTAGGGGAAGTAAGATATATTTATAAGTAAGTACAATACAGGGTATATGAGTGTTAAGGATAAAGAGACTAATTCTGAGAGGCAAAAGGCAATGGGGAATGGATTTTTAGCTGGATCTTTAAGGACAAGAATTTTGAGAGTTTAAGGATAGAGTTCATTAGAGGCAGAGGGAATAAAGCATGGAGCCATGAAGCCGTGTGGTTTATTTCTGAATATATTGAGTAATTTGGTGTGTCAGAAGTGTGGGTTTTATATAGGTGTATCATGGGAGATTAGCTTAAAAGGGATGTTGGGGACAAATTATGAGGGACTTTGAATGAAATGCTCATTTTAATGTGGTGTGGTAGACACAGTGGTCTGTGTATAGTGGCTATGTTGTGAGTAATATCATGGCCATATAGTTGACTGGTCCAGGGTTGGGCACTGGTACCAAACCAAAACATTCAGTCCTTCTCTAGGATTTTTCAAACTTACATGAAGAAAAGAAATAAGACTGGTAGAAGGAGTCTTGGATGAAATACTTGGGAGTTCTCAGTGACCAAACTCTCTGCCTCTGACCAAACTCATCTCTCTGTTGAGGATGCTAATCAGCACTAGGTGAGAAGGAGAGTGACCTAGTGAGTCACAGGGATGATAATGGAGGGAAAAGATCCTGGCAGAGACTAAGTGCCAGGTTCTAGTTCTCTCCCAAATGTAGCAGCATTTTTGCCTCTTAGTGATGTTAATTTCCCCCAGGAGCCGGAAACTCCACTTGAACTGGCCTAGGCAAAAAGATGAAATCTTTGGATCATAATACCAAAATGGGAAGAGTAGAATGCAGCTGGTCAGACTTAAAGATGCATTCATTGTCCCTTTTCACTGGCCGCTGCATCTTTCATCAAAGAAGTTTTAGTCTTTCAAAGGGTCTTTCCCCAGAAGGTTAGAACCCTGGGCTTCCAGGAGTTCCCAGCACACATTTTCTAGCTTCAAGAGGCTCTGCTGCTTTTTCCTTTCTTCCAATTTGGTAAATTCTAGGGATGATCTCTGATTGGTCCATAAGGTTTTGTTGTCAACCCCAAGGCCAGAGGGCCGGCATTGCAATTGGCAGGCCCATTAGAACTGCCCAGTTCTGTGAGGGAGGAGCTGTTTTCCATGAGAAAAGGGTGGGATGCTATCCATAGTCAAAGAACAAAACAATAAAAGCCTTCAACAGATTGGGAAGGCCTAACCTGGGTTCATAGCCTTAGGGCTGGAAAGGAAGGGTTGCCTTTGAGAAACATTATCCAAGAGGGGTAGAATCTGCTCTTCTGTATGCTAGAGGATGAGCAGATTTGGGAAGAGAAATAATGGGCTCCTATACCTTGTAGCTCAGTCAGTAAAGAATCCACTT